GAGGAGGGCGGATTGGCTGAGGGCAAAAGTTTAAGACTTGGCTGAGGTCTTAAGCTTTTGACCTCAGCCAAGTTAGTTTTGGCTAACTTGGTAAAACTCCGTCTCTACTAAAAATAGAAAAAATTAGCTGGGTGTGGTGGTAGGCACCTGTAATCCCAGCTACTTGGGAGGCTGAGGCAGGAAGAATTGCTTAAACCTGGGAGGTGGAGGTTACAGGGAGCTAAGATTGCACCATTGCACTCCAGCCTGGAAACGGAGCGAGACTCTGTCTCGAAAAGAAAAGAAAAAGATGCAGTAACACTCTTTGGAGAATCATGAAAATAATAAAACTCCTACTACAAACTTAGAAGACTTTAATATTAGGCTGGGGTGGCCCCTCGCACTGATATTATAACATTGCTTTGGTCCAAATAAAAGCAGCTGCATTTTATCTCCTTTTCTGGGTTCCTCTTATCTGCCCATTCCTTAAATTCGAGTACCAGTCAGAATTCTCACCAGTCAGAATCTTTCAGCTGTAAGTACAAAAAGCCCTGAATCAAACACAGCCAGGACCAGGGTAAGATGAGTCAGGCACCTGGGGTGTAACATTTAAGGAGATAGTCACTTTTTTTTTTTTTGGCAATTTTTTAAAGTTTATTTGATATGCTTGACGATCAGCGATTAGTTCTCATCCACATTGGCTGTCTGTAGATTTTTGAAAGTGGTAACAGGTACATAGGTAACTAAAGTATAGAGCTTATTTGGTGAATCTTCATCCTTATTACGTTTTCTGGACAATCGCACACGGATTCGGTATGGGACATTCCTTATTCCTTTGGCCCACACAGCTTTGTTGAGCCTCGTATCAATGCACGCATCTGGAGTTCCCATCTCCTTCATAGCAAATTTCCGAATCTCTTTGAGTGCCTGAGGGGCACGCTTCTTGAAGCCCACTCCATGGATGTGCTTGTGCATGTCGATGGTGTATTCTCGGGTCACCACCTCGGTGATGGCAGAATGGCCTTTTCTTCTCGCCACCTTCTTTGCAGGAGCCATTCTGCCGGGTCCGAGGTGGAAAGCGATAGCCACTCTTAGGATTAGCAAGTGCAGCGTCAGCACCCAAGAGTGAGCACCTCCTTCAATATTCCGTCCTAGGTGCTCAACTGCCTCACCTTGGTTCTGGCCAAACCCAGTTGGTACAAACAGTAAGGACACATCCTTTCTCATCTAACACAGGAAGGGCTCTGGCTCCTCTTCTCTGCTCTTTCTGAGGCACTGCCCTCCTCCCTGAGTTGGCATCATCCTGAAGCAAGTGGGGAGGTGGCTGCGGTGGATCCAGACAACACATGGTACCACACTATTCAAAGGCAGAAAGGGACTAGAAGCCTCCTCAGGAGTAAGAAGCCCCCCAGCAGTCTTCCCCTCATGCTTCACTGACACGCTAGGTTGCATGCCCACCCCATCTAATCACCATTTTCTACTTATAGTATTTTCTAGTTTTTTTTTTTTTTTTT